TCTCTTTGTATGTCCCACACAGTGTTCACTATGTATGAGCTGCTCCTGCTATGATCATATCACGGTCCAGGCAAAGATCAGGATCATATATTTCTGGAATGCTGCGGGGTGCATTTGCCTTCGTGCTCCGCCCTGATTTGCTCCTGGCTTGATCTAATCCGTTATTCTATGTAGTAAAAGCTCATATGCAGGATCTCCATCGCAGCACGTGCTGCCCCTGCCCAGCCTTCCACATTGAAGCCATGGCTTCAGTGGCCTGATGGCAAATCTCTCCGGTACTCATCCCTGGTGCCAGGACCAGGTCTTATCAAAGGACATTGGAGGCTTACTGAACTACGAGGAGGATGACTCTTCAGAAAAAAATAGAAATGACTAAAACTGACAAAAAGGTTCACATTTTAACTTGAAAATAGATAAAAAAAAAAAAAACTGAAGCGCACTAATGTACTAATTATATTGATCTTAGTAGTAACACTGATCAGCACTGCAAGGGAGCTAAAATAAAATAAAATTACAGTAAGCAAGGTTAAAACACACAGAGACACTGTAGCATTAAAGGGACACTGTAGGCACCCAGACCACGTCAGCTCATTGAAGTGGTCTGGGTAGGGCCAGATTAAGAGCCCAGTGGGCCTGGTGCTGACAATTAGGACGGGCCTAATTACAGAATCATATCGACCAAAAACAGTAAAACACTCCCAAGCGTCATGCATCTGATGGAGATGGTGCTGGAGCGAAAGAAAACAGCAGCTATAAGAAAACACATACCCTAGGCTAATCTCTCTCTAATTTATGTTTTCATCTTTAAAGTAAATCCATAACCCCTAACAGCAGTGTCCAGTCAAGCAGGAAGTCAATGGGCATGGTAAAAGGGTGTGCCACTGACACAAATTACGTAACCTGCCAAAAGGGGCGACCATGCCCAAAAAGGACATGTCTGCCCAAAGAATTAGAAGGCCAGCCTGGCATGAATGCATGTCAGGCTGCCTGCCAATCATGCAGCTGGCCAACTAAGGGCAGACAGCACCCTGAGCTTGGCAAAAATGCATCTAATGATGCGCTCACTCAACGCTTTCTAAGGACTGTTCCCTAGCACTTGCTGGTCCACTTGTCTCCTTACCTTCTTACTAGCAGGCAGAAGCTCCTGGTATATAGTCTGGGACAGAGAAAAGCTGTATGTAGTGAGTGTAGAAGAAAGGGAACATGCCACAGTGTTAGAGAGACCAAAGTCAGCATTACCTTAAAGGATCACTATAGGGTCAGGAACACAAACATTAATTCATGACCCTATAGTGTTAACACCACCATCTAGCCCCCCTGGGCCCCTCATGCCTCCATAAATGTAGCAAAATCTTACTGTATTCAAGCCTGAAGCTGTAACTCTGAATGCTGTTAGACTCATAAAAACAAGCAGTCTGCTGACATCATTAGAAGTGGTGGCCTGATCCAATCACAGTGCTTCCCCATAGGATTGGCTGAGACTGACAAAGAGGCAGATCAGGGTCAGAGCCAGCATGATTCAAACACAGCCCTGGCCAATCAGCATCTCCTTATAGAGATGAATTGAATTAATGAATCTCTATGAGGAAAGTTCAGTGTCTGCATGCAGAGGGAGGAGACACTGAATGTTTGGATGCATTTTAGGCAGCCATGACCCAGGAAGGATCTCTAACAGCCATCTAAGGAGTGGCCAGTGAAGTTATCACTAGGCTGTAATGTAAAGACTGCATTTTCTCTGAAAAGACAGTGTTCATAGCAAAAAGCCTGACGGAAATGATTCTACTCACCAGAACAAATTCAATAAGCTGTAGTTGTTCTGGTGACTATAGTGTCCCTTTAACTATATTCATTGTCAGCCAGTCCACATAAGTTTTGTTCCCATACATCCCACTTAAGTTTCCATACTTAAGTAAGAGTATGTGAAAAGTAGTTAGGGTTGCCACCTTTCTTGGAAAAACATACCGGCCTTACTAATTTGCATAATTAAATATGTATGGGTGACATCACATGATGTAAATCACAAGGAGTGACATAAGAGAAAATTCTGTAAAATCACCAAAAAACTACTTAGTTTGATTCTGCTGTATAGAAGGATTCTTCTCAGTGCCCCCATGTCTCCGAGTGCCCTCATGACTCAGTGCCCCCATATGTCGATTACTCCAGGTCCTATGTATCAGTGTCTCAGTGCCCCATGTCTCCCAGTGTGCCCTAGTGTCGTGTCCCCAGGTCTCCCAGTGACTGTATCACAGTGTCTCAATGCCCCATGTATCCCAGGGTCCCCATGTCACTAGGACACTAGGAAGACGGGGAGACCTGGGGACATGGGGAGACCTTGGGACACGGAGACACCAGTGACACTGGGAGACTAGGGGACTCTGGCTGGGACACATTGGGACAATGGGAAAATAAGGGACACTTGAAGACATGGGGACACAGACACCAGGGACACAGACACTAGAGACACAGGCTGGGGGACATGGGGACATTGTGACACTTGAGGCACTGAGAGACATGGAGGCACTAGGAGACATGGGGACAGTGAGACACTGGCAGACTGGGGGCACTGGGAGACTAGGGGGCACTGAGACACCAGGGACACTGTCTGGGAGACATGGGGACACTGTGACACTTGAGGCACTGAGAGACATGGAGGCACTAGAAGACATGGGGACAGTGAGCCACTGGCAGACTGGGGGCACTGGGAAATATGGGGACACTGTGTCCCCATGTGTCTGTGTCATAATGTCTCCCAATGTCCCTTAGTGCCTCAGTGTCTGCCATAATGTCTCCCAACGTCCCTTAGTGTCTCAGTGTCTGCCATAATGTCTCCCAATGTCCCTTAGTGTCTCAGTGTCTGCCATAATGTCTCCCAATGTCCCTTAGTGTCTCAGTGTCTGCCATAATATCTCCCAGTGTCTGCCATAATGTCTCCCAGTGCCCCTTAGTGTCTCAGTGTCTGCCATAAGGTCTCCCAGTGTCTCTTAGTGTCTCAGTGTCTGCCGTAATGTCTCCCAATGTCCCTTAGTGTCTCAGTGTCTGCCGTAATGTCTCCCAGTGTCCCTTAGTGTCTCAGTGTCTGCCGTAATGTCTTCCAGTGTCCCTTAGTGTCTCAGTGTCTGCCATAATGTCTCCCAGTGTCCCTTAGTGTCTCAGTGTCTGCCATAATGTCTCCCAGTGCCCCTTAGTGTCTCAGTGTCTGCCATAATGTCTCCCAATGTCCCTTAGTGTCTCAGTGTCTGCCATAATGTCTCCCAGTGTCCCTTAGTGTCTCAGTGTCTGCCATAATGTCTCCCAGTGTCCCTTAGTGTCTCAGTGTCTGCCATAATGTCTCCCAGTGTCCCTTAGTGAATGTCTCCCAGTGCCCCTTAGTGTCTCAGTGTCTGCCATAATGTCTCCCAGTGTCCCTTAGTGTCTGCCATAATGTCTCCCAGTGCCCCTTAGTGTCTCAGTGTCTGCCATAATGTCTCCCAGTGTCCCTTAGTGTCTCAGTGTCTGCCATAATATCTCCCAATGTCCCTTAGTGTCTCAGTGTCCCTTAGTGTCTCAGTGCCTGCCATAATATCTCCCAGTGTCCCTTAGTGTCTCAGTGTCTGCCATAATGTCTCCCAATGTCCCTTAGTGTCTCAGTGCCTGCCATAATGTCTCCCAATGTCCCTTAGTGTCTCAGTGTCTGCCGTAATGTCTCCCAATGTCCCTTAGTGTCTCAGTGTATGTCTCCTTGCAGCATTTCCCCCCATCCCTCCCTTCCCTGAGCTGTAGGCTGTCTCTGCAGGGTGTGAGTTGCAGTCTGGACTCTCTGTAGCTGCACCCCTGCAGATCAGTGAAAATAGATAGGCAGGGAGGGATATGCTGGAACTTTCTATCCCTGCCTGTCTCCACACACAGCGACCCCTACTGGCCAGTGCTGGTATTGCATAGTAATCTCTTGTTTATACTGAGGAAAATACCAGCATTTGTATTGCCAGTATCACTGCAACAGGGGAGGGCTGGCAGCCTTAGGCCTGGAGGGCAAAACCAGTCAAGTGGCCCATTGCACCACCAAATCAGTTCACCATCCATGCCCACCTTTTCCTGGTTTTATAACGGATATTGATGTTATGCTAATCAGTAGCTCTTTGCCATACCCGCTCCTTCACGGCTCCAGGCACTGCTTGTTGTGAGTGTGAGCCACTGTAAATTAGGGGCAGAGGGCACTTGCACTGCGGTAAAGATGGGGCTGGACAGGAGGAGAGTGCAGTGCAATCAGTGCACTCCCCTCCTGTGGGTCACCAGTAGACTGGTGCACCTGCCCAGGATCAGAGCCGGTGCAAGGATTTTTGCCGCCCTAGACAAAATAAAAATTTGCTGCCCCCCCATGTGACATCACAATGCCCCACCCATATGAACTAACGCCAGTGCTGCACACAGTGTGTGTTTACATTAAAAAGCCTGCAGGGACCAGCTATAGACACCAGAACCACTTCATTAAGCTATAGTGTCCCTTTAATGTGAGGTACATTATAGATTAGTGTCACTAATAATATACTAGATTGCCTACTTACAAGCAGATGAGGATGATGATGGGCTGCAGTTTGGCTCCACTGGTCTGGTGTAGAACAGGATCTCTGGAGGCTGTTTGCAACTGTGGTCACAAAATTCAATGTTCTGGGAGAATTGGAAGCAGCTCCATTTTTTGGGGCCCCTTACACAGCTCAAGGTCTGGGCCCCAGGGCCTGACGGTGAGTATGCCTATAAGGCCCACTCATAAGTTCCACCCACCCATGAGTTCGCTCACAGGGAGTGGAGTGTGTAGGGGATGTGTTGTGTGTTCTTGTAGAGGATCTAATATGTGTGCTTATGGTATGTAGTGTTTAGGGTTACCAGTTTGTGCAGGTGATGTAGTGTGTTTGTGTGTAGTGGAAGCAGTGTGTATTTGTGTATAAGGGATGTATTATGTGTTTCTGGTTGTGTGTGAGGGATGCATTGTGTGAATCTGTGTTTGTATGCATAAGGGATGCAAGGTGTGTGTCTGTATGTGTGTGCATTGAGTGTAAGAGATGTATTGTGTTTCTGTGTGTATGTAAGAAAAGAAGTGTGTGTGTTTGCATGTGTGTGTACGGGTTTGCATTGTCTGTTTCTGTGTATGTGTGCAAAGGATGCATTGTCTTTGTGTGTAAGGGTTGCATTGTGTGTGTGTGTAATGGATGCATTGTGTGTTTCTGTGTGTAAGGGAAGCATGTTGTGTTTCTGTGTATGTATAGGGATGCATTGTGTGTGTGTGCACGCGCGTAGTGTGAAAGAGCTCCCTGTCTTGGCCCCTGTCCTATAGAGCTGCCCCTTCTGTCCCGTAGAGCTCTCCCCTGCACCTTTAGTGGTCTCTCCTCTCCCCACCCTCCCCTAGCGGTCTCTTCTCACACTCACCCACCCTCCCTGTGCTCTTCTCATCCCCCCTCCACCCTCCCTGTGTTCTTCTCACTCCTCCCTCTATGTGTTCTCCTCACATCCCCTGTGTTCGTCTTACCCCCCTCCTCCCTGTGTTCTTCATACTTCCCCCCTTGGTCGTCTTACTCCCCCACCTGTTCTTCTTACTCCC